TTGTATTAAATTAATTTCGTTTTTATATGGTTACTTTTTTGCTTTGATATAAGTAATATGAAAAGATTATCTTTTGCAATGCGTACTTTTAAAAGGTTAATTTAATCTAGACAAATCTGTACAACACAGAGCCGTGCTGTTTGCGGGCGAGCACATCATTCAATTCCTTTGCTGCATTTTGTTTTGCTGTAAGGGCCTCTCGGTAGATTAGGCAGTGTGTAAAAGGTACATGATCATTACTAGCAGATAATAACAAATGCTTTAAAACCAATATTTACACCCTTCATCGCTTTTGTGCTATCTGTGCATACTTCAGTGCAATTTGTTTCAATTTTAAACTTTTAGTTTTAAAAATTCGTCAACTTTGCTTTATATTTCTTACCTTTTTCCATGATCTTCCGAAGTTAATTATTTTATGAGATTTAAATAAAAGCCTGTCTTATGAAAGCATTTTATACATTTGTTTCGTCCAACTAATTGAAAATTTTGGGGCATTTTTTTTATATTGCTCGAACTAATCTTTGCTAGTTCCAAAAATTCTACTGGAAAATAAAAAGTCATTGAAAAAAAGAAGTTTTTCGAATTTCATCACCATAATTACTTTTTGTCCTATTACTTTAATGGATCTTCTCCAATAGTGCACTATTACATTTTTCGCAAAGATCTTCTCCAATTGTATTACGTAGGGACACGAGTAATATTTTTCTAACATCACGAATTTCTCAAAATATTTTTTTTTTTTTTTTTTGCTTTAATTGACGATTTTAACAGTCGTTCGATGTATTTACTATTTTCGTTTATTGATGTACGAAAAGGATTCAAAGTGCCTTTTTAATTAGATAGCCATATTCATACATAACATTTTATTATTAATTAAACAAAGGAGGTACTCATTACTGTCACAGTCGTTTAAAGCAAATTGGTTTGATCATATCAAAATAAACCTCCTTATATTTTCTTTTTCGCTATTAGATGCCACTTTCTGATTACAAGCTTCTGCTTAAAGACACTTCTTAGCACTGTCGCCTGCGCAATTTTCATCCATTTACACATGGGTAAAACCTAGTTTTATCCCAAAATATGAATACGATCTCTCATTATAATAAAAATAATGTTTTATTATTAGTAGAAAATTAAGAATTTTAGAAAAAGTATTTCATAGAGGTTTATCATTTTCTTTCCCCTATTTCTTTCATTTTATTTATTTATTTAATTTTTTTACTGTTCAATTAATTATTTTTCCAAAAAAATATATCTTATATATAATTTAAATATCTGATAGCTAACTCATATATGTTGTTATGTTATGAGAAAAATTACTCACGGATCAAGGAATAATTCAGTTTTGTTCCCTTTCTTTGTCGGAAAACACCAAAAATGCATATGTTTAACGGGTCACACTGTAGAGTCATTAGGTTAATTGGAAGCAGAAAAGATGAAAAATATGCAACCGCTTTCGCCTGGAACCGAACCACGGACCTCTGGAATACCGGCCCAACGTGCTACCGTGACACCACGAAGGCACGCTAGGGAAGTGGGAGAAATACCTTATATACTCCCCTTTTTAAAGGGCGACTAGTGTTTTAGGGGACCAAGTCGCCAAATCCTGGGTGCGGAGAATCATCATCGACAACCCTTTTAGTTCGGGCGCTACTTGTCATTAGGATTATTTTTACAGGCAGAAAAGATGAAAAAATAGCCTTTAAAAATTGCCTGGGAAGATATAATCATGTTGGAATTTGTCCAGTAATATCACTAATTTTTAAATGAATATTCCTAAGCATCAAATTTCTCTGGTTTGATCGATGAGTTGCTTATTAGTGTAAATGAATGGTCTACCAGAATATGGTTAATCTTCGACGTACTTTCTAATAAACACTTTATACTTCTCAAAAACTTTTTTTTTCATGCCTCTAGGGCTTTTTTCAAAACAATAGTGAAAAAAAGGGTTATTGCTATATATCGAAAAGCGCAATAATTCTTAAACTTTGAAAGTGATTTCTTGCGCATGCGTACTTTTCATGAACAACTTCTGATACTTAATAATCACAGTACCAGGTTTGAATTTTAATCATATTTCTGTTGCAGAACGTTGAGGAAGAAAGATGCTAGAAATTGCAAATTTGGAAACCTTATATTATAGGGATTCCACCATTCAGTAAACAAATGTAGTAGGTGCTATTGCCAGTTAATAAACTTAAATCATTATTGTAAAATAAACTTGAAACTTAACTAAAAGGATTTAATTTTGTGTCTCCTCTCTGTTTTAAAATAAGAGGGCACAAATTAACGGTTTTGCATATAAGACGTTTAAAATATTTAAAAATACATTATAATTTGTATAAAATTAAAACAGGTTAAAAAAAGATAATTACAGTTTGTATGTTACCTGTTAAAAGTTCACCACATGGTTGTATTATTATAATGCAGATAGTTTTATGTATACAAAAAATAAAAAGTTTGCAATCGGTACAGTATATAGAGTTAGAAATCCGTTTTATTTATTGTCATAATGATGTAAAATAATACTTTATGAAAAATATTATTCAAATTTAGAAATAAAAAATATAGATTTTTTTTAAAAAAATAACCGCATGTCAATGTTTAATCGCTGCTATGAACTGAAGTGTAGTGACCAATGACCTTTATTCCTTTGCATACGTTTTTCAGAACATTTCAGTAGTGAACAGTTGCGTTAGATAATAGTAGTCTATTTTCTCTGTTTTTACGTTGAAGTAAATTTTCAACTAAAATACGAAGTAAATTGACGCTTGATCCCCATAAACTCAAAATGAAAAGCAGTCTGTGCTTTATTTCCGAAAATACACCATACCGCTGGAAAATAGAATGGAGTCTTTCGCACCCAATAAAGTTATATTTTAATGAAGAACGTATTTATTATCAGTGTGACATCCGCACACGTCGGAAAGGTGTAGCAATAGTGTGAAATTTGGTCCGAAAGAAGTCGCATAGCATAGACAACATATTTTCTATTCATTTAATGCTGGTATGAAGAACTAACACTGTTCAAGTTCTGGCAAGAACAACTAGGAAACAGAAATGGAAATACTGGCGGCGTCGACTGCATGTGGATGCATGAAAGCATGTTTACAAGTCGTAAAAATAGTGCTCGATGAAAACTTCTTCAATAACGGACATCTGCGAGCATTTGCCGTGAAACGAGAAAAACGCTTCTTGTGATGATCTCCGATTGCAGTGTTACCACATCAATGAATATATATATATATATATATAAATTGAAGATGAATCGAAATTTTTTCCAATTGTTGAAGGAATGGAACAATCTGGTTATATTCAGTGCCAGGTGAACCACAAACACAATTTCATTCATTCTGAAACTGGCACACACATATACACACCTGTAGAATATAGAAAGTATCTGAAGAAATTTAAAATGGGGGGGGGCATACAGAAGCCTCTTGCCATCATCTCGAATCCTACTTCGCAGAGATTATGTGAATGAAAAACAAGCCTCAAATGATAATGTTATATTTGGTGTAATCGCTAAACATTTTCCACCCGAAACAAAACTTCGTTTCCATTTGCCAATGGCATGCCATTAATACTAATTTACTAATGAAATTTCTTTCTGAAACGTTAAAACAAATTGCTGCTTGACTTAAATTGGATTCCAATTTAACATCTGTGCGACGATATAAACATCGGTGTTAAACTTGCGAGTCGCAGAAAAATGTTACTTTTTAATAAGATGACGTATCTACTGTCATACATTCGTATAAATATGTGAACTACAAAAATCTGAAATTGACTTTTTTTATTGGGAGAAATATTTACTCGGGCATATTTGTGATACGCAGCTAAAGGATATTTAAAGATGTAATTCTTTATGATGAAATTCGCAATTTGGATGTTACTGTGCAAAACAAGAAGCTTGAAAATCTTTACTCTGGCCGATTTTCTACTAAAGTACAGAAAGGCCAAATCTCTTTTGCATTGTCAAAAACTGCACAGTTTTAGAAAAATCTATATTCAGTTGATTATATTGTTGATGTTTGTTCCTGAAATTAAATTTTAACGGAAACCGCCAGAAAATAAAGATTTCATTAGAATGTGAGAAAAGAAGCAATCACGTATAGCACAAAAACACATCGCAGCAAGCCATCACGTTAAAAAATTTTTTTTCCTTCCTTAAAACAGCTTAAAAATTTAGTCAGATAAATTACAAAGAAGAAAAAAATCGTATTTAATACAGAAACAGTTCAAGAAATATAATTAACACTCAGGAGTAACAAACGAGAAAATTAATTAATCAACCTAAACTCTAAAGTTAATTAGCCTTTGATGCTTTTTATCAGAGGCCAGCATAATGAAAAGAAATTTCCCTTCTTTCTTCCAAATTTTTTCCTTCCTTTTTCTAATCCACTTTCAATTAGCGTTCAATGCGCCTCTTAAATCAAAAACTTTATTTAGAAAATGTCGTCTCTGAAGTTAGAAAAGTTAAAAATTGCGGCTTTTCATTTAGATAATAGGTTCCTAGATGGAAAAGCAGGTTAGAGAGATGCCGCGTATATAATATTTCCTCCCTCTACCCCTCTCTCCCGAACTCATCCCCGCAGCGGTAAGTCACTTTGGAACGTTAATAATGGCGATGTTGTCAATAGGCAAAACACGGCAAGCGTAATGAATGCCAACATCTCTATCTCCATCTATCTATCTCTCCATCCCCACGTAATTAATTATTCCTACCTCCTCTCTGCTCTCTTGTACCACCGAACAATGTAGAGGGGTGAGCGGCAGGGTGCACGGCGGAACATTTAGTGTAATTAGGAAAGAAGACACCGGTAAGCACAGCAAGAGGGGAAAGGGGATTTGCTGTTGGATATCAAATCTTCTCTACCTGATTGGTTTGCTACCGTGAATGGTTGAAATTTGCGCATGCGATCTGTAACATTCCGCGAGAGATGAAAGGGAGAGAGAAAATGGGGGGGGGAGGTGAAGCATATTAGAATATGCTTGTTTCGCCACCGCTGCTGCCATCCGCGGAAAGGAAATATATTAAGTTGTATGTGCCTAGTTAAACATCGTCACCGACCTCCAATTAATCAAGTAAGATTCGTTTGACTACTCGTACTTAGTTTGTATTAATATAAATAAAGTGTCTTTATTCATTTTTTACGTCGTATATAAAATGTATGGAAGCTGTTCGTTAAAAAATGAAAGTTTAAAAATCAATTGTAAAAGTTTATTAAGAGTATGAAAAAAGCATCTGAACTGGTAATGTAATTAAGAGTTATGCATCAGCTAGCAAAACTTAGATTTTACAAAATTAAAATAATAATAATCTTTTTTTGCCTGGTGAATATGGTCAATAAAATTTCTAAACAAATAAATAATCAATGGAATGCGGGCATATCAAATTGACCTTAATATAAGACATTGTTTTTCCCATATAATGCTTTTTGAGATACATATCTATATTATATGCGTTGTTTAACGTTTAGACATAAAGTATATTTCAGTAATTTTTCTCTTTTAAGTTAAAAGCAAATATAATTCCACATTTCGTATACAGTTGTGGTATTTTAGGTTAGTCTTTAACTTTTCTTGACATTAGAGCATTTATTAGTTTCTTGTAAAAATCCTTTAAAATATCGAGTTCATACATATGAGTACAGCTTTTTTAATGTAAAATCTCTTTAAAATATTGAATCCTCTTAAACATAAGGCTCTCTTATGTTGAGACTAATTCGAATTGATTTTAGTGTTTTTTCCAGTATCCGTATTACTACTAATCCGTATTGATTTTAGTGTTTTTTTAGTATTTTTATTAGAGCATTAATTGTTGATCTTAAATTGTCTTTTTAATATCTCCAACTTGCTAATATTTTTTCTCAATAAAAAAATAAGTAAATTCGGCAGATTTAATAATAATTTATTCAAAAATTCGTGAAGACAAATTGAGTGATCATTTTAAGCTAATTGTACATCATGAAATAATAAAATGTTTTGAATAGAATATAATAGGCTGTACATGATAATGTAATAATAAGTCATTTGCTCCTTTGCTAATAGAATAGGTATTTTCCCTGATAAGTCAAATTTGTGGTGTGTGTGTGTGTGTGTATGTGTGTGTGATTATGGCAAAAGCCTCGAGGGCTATCTGCCTAAGGGGAGGGATGCCTTCGTGGAGGACTTTCTAAGGGAAACTGGCTCGTATACACGTCAAATTTGTGGTAAAAATGCTTATTCTGTTCCAGAACCATATTGTTAGATTTCCTAATTGCTGTGATTTTATTGTTGATTTTAATTTAATCTTGACAAGTTGGCTGTGCAAATGGAAAGAATGGATAACTATTTTATTTCAATGCATAAATATACTCTGACCAGGACATTTAGAATTTAAACAATTAAGTCCGTATTCGAAATATTTGACTCGGACATTTCGAATTCGGACCAACGAGAGATCAAATTCAACGAGTCTGAATTCTAATTTTTCAGCAATTTTAGTATTTGTATCAAATTTGACGTGAGATTTGTCAAATAATTTATGGCCAAAGTAAGGGAAGAAGGGGAAAAGAGGATTCCTTCGCTTCAATGCACATATTCATCACTACACCACACAGTTAATTTTATATTTTAAAAATTAGAAATATTTTAAGACATCGTTTCTCAAATCTTTTTCAAGTGGGTACCACGTTTATAAATTAAAATGTTCGACTGACCGCCTTAATCTTGTCCTCTTCGAAAGCTTTTTAGCATATTATTACCAGTACACATATATTTTAAAAATACAGCTAATTAAACTTCGTTAAAATTTATATTGGTTTCAAGTAGTTAAGTTAATAGAAGAATATTATTTTCAATAATTCAAAGCTATTTAAGTTTGGATAATCTTTATTTTATTAACTTAAAGTTAAATAAATGTTAGTAATCACATTTGACGTGGATGAGATTTCCAACTCTTGTACAGCTGTTCTATGTGTGGATGTATGCTTGTAACCTCAAGTCGGAGATCGGCATATATGAAGTCAACTTCGGTATTTTGTTTTGATTTGAGTTACTGATTATCATTTCTCATATAGGTACATCTAAGCGAACTGAAATATTTTTAAACTACCATTGTAAACTTCACTTTTTACTCACAATAAGATCCAGAAATTAACTATATGATCTGCCTGAAATTTCATTTTAAATCCGATGCCATTCTTCAGTTCAATTAAATGTTCTCTTTCATTAAATAACAGTTTGTTATTTTCAGTACCGCAATGAAAAGGATCACGAACTCATGAAAACTCGTTATATTTGCCACTTAGAAAACAAGTTTTAAATTGTCACTGTTCGAGTTTCAAGATGCGAACTTATATCACTCCATAATCCTTTTCCACTGACTATATCATTTTGTAGACTGTAAGCCTGGAAATGGTGAATAAATTTTATTTTACACAGCTAACTCACAAACCAAGTTTCCTTTCGAAAACTTTTATTTTCTCATAGGTTGACAATACATCTGAAAGATAAACCAGTATACAAGGTATTTAGGTAGAATAAAACGATAATAAATTTTATAAAGTGTCTGCCTTGGGAGAAAAAGTAAATAGGCGAATGGCCATGGGTTATTTCCGGACTATGAGATTTTTAGCTATTGTTGAGTATAAGCAGTTGATTTTAATTTTCTTTTTGTCCTTTTTGAAAATCTAGGAGGACTACAAGAACAGGCTTCGAAGATTGACAAGCAGGCACAAGAGCAGGCTTGGTTGTCAAAGACTGTTTAAAGTTATTCAGATCCAGAATTATTAAATGAAACAAAGATTTATTGACGAAATGAAAATCTTGAAGATATTTCGGATTTTCTTTCAGTTACTAATTGATTTTTAATTAAATGCGGTAAACTTAAAGATTAGATGTTTTCCAGTTAAATTGTTTAATTTTATGAGAACCAAGTCATTTCTAATTAGAATGTTCGAAAAACGTACATTCCATGCGATAAAGATAAAAGGATAAATCAAGCTGATTATACGTGTAATTAAAAAATTTGCAATGCAGAATATATATATATATATATATAAGTAAACAATTTAATTAATAGTAATTGCCGAATACTTGTGCAAAAGCTGCAAAGTAATAATGCGCGTAAATTTACTTCGTATTACAAAGTTTTGCTGAAATAATATAGTACTTTATGTTATTGTAAATAAAAGAAATTGAAAATAAGGTAAATTAATTAAGTAATATAATGAAAGAACTGAAAATATGGGAAAATTATCTGATGTAACAGTAGATGTCTTTTGCCAGTAGATCAGTTTTTAAATAAAATTAAAAAGCAGTTTACTCCGTTTTTATTAATTACTTAATATAAATTTTTTAGAAATGAAGCAAAGGATTTTTTTCAGTTTTTAAAAATGAATATGCGTTTATCTGTTAACACATTTATTTATAAACCCTACTAAATAGACACTATTAATTAAAATGTACAAAAATAAATCAAAATAAAAATATTACTTGGAGATATTGATTTGCAGCAAACGTACCGATTTTTCTCTCAGTTCGTTGCTTGTTAGGAGAAATATTAGAGTATTTTAAGTTTTCCTTTATAAAGTGCAACATCCGTCGTCCGACATTTTTTTCATTTATTGCAGCGTCTGCGCATGCTGATATAAAAATTTGGGTGTAATCCTTTTCTCCCCCCCCATTCACTGCTTGTAAGGTTTATTATTATAATTTTTTTTTCTTTTTTTGCTTCCTTGTAAGACGTAGAGGAAGCATTATAATCGCGAAAAATTTCGGGTATTATATTTCAATGAAAATATCCATTTCGATCGCTCTCAAATCCATTATTTGAGCGATGCTTTTGCGTAACAACTGAAATGTATTAAAAATGGTTTCAAAAGAGATTTTTTTCGTGATGTCTGTACGTACTTCAGTATGTGCTTGTATCTCGCAAAATTAAAAAAAAGTAGCCGTAGACAATGAAATTTTGTACATGAGACTGCTGTAATATGTAGTTCTCACATCCCTTTTTCGTTGCAATCAGCCGAACCAAACTTTGTTACCCGGCTCTGTGAGCTCAGTTTTTTATTCTTGTATGTTAGGCTGTCCTTATGTTCCGTTTAAGGTTTTTATGCCTTCAATTAATTTGCATGCAATAGTTGTAGAATTTTTCAAAAATTTAAATTTGATGCTAACTCTAATGAGGCCGCCATTTGCTTACATTTGAAACTCTTATTAGAATAGTGAATTAAGTCAGCTGGTGCACCAATCCAATGTCTTTTTGGCCAGTGCGACCAAAAGTTAACTTTCAGTTTTGTGCACTGCCAATTTTGTCTTTCTATCTGCTGCTCGAATTGCTTGTTTTATAGTAAAAACTCTAATTTAATTATAATTTTTTTAATTGTTTTTAAGTGTATTTAGTGTTTTACGTTTTGTTGTATTTTACAATTTTTAATGAAGACTGAGTTTTTATGTATTTTTGCGTTGTCGCGAAGTGAAAACTGAATTCATTGAATTGAAATATATCTCTAATGAAATTCCAGGAAATAAGTTTAAGTGAAGTGCAGCAAAAAATATGTGTAATTTAATAGGCCGTACAGGGAAGTCAGATGGTGTCCACATCAGTTATTTTTATTTTAAATTAAGTAATTATTTTGGATTGGAGATATTCCACTCTTTGTCTCATTTTCTCTGCGAAAAACATTCTTCAGTTGAGTACGCAAAGTAATATGCTATTATACTCCTGCTCAAAAAATAAACGACAATGGCAAAATACGAAATAAAACAAAAACTATTTAATGGATAAGCGGGAAATTGATCGAAGAGTTTGGTGTGGCATTACTAGAGCACATAGACAACAAAAGCAAAGACATCCAAAAACACATACATTACGAACATCACATCGCGAAAGACCAAATGGGTCGGAAGAATGTGCAGCGGAAACATCAAGCTAATAACGGGTATGATTAATTCTGGCTAAAATGCACGCCTGACAGCGGCGAGGTAAGATGGCAATAATCACTGATCGCTTGTTGTAGCAGTAGCGTCTATTCTTGTTCAATGCCTTTCGGAGGTCATCGAGTGTGCCTGTCGGCGTACTGTGACCTTATATTCGTCGC